TCCTTCTGGGAGGTACAAATGATGTTCATCCCCCTCCTCCCTTGGGCCCCATGACAAACCAAGTTAAAAAACCAGACTGCAAAAAACCAGTGAGTTTTACTTAAAGAACAGTGGATGAGAGTTTACTTACAGGAATGTGGGCACTCCCCTCCTAAGGTTGCACTGGAAAGTCTTTATCCCAGCATGGATGATGACTTTACCACAGCTGCACAAAATGGTGAGAGAACCTCTCCTTGACTTCCTCAGTTTATATACTCTCAGCCCCTCCCCCTTGTGCAGCTAGGATGGACTGTTTGATTGAGAGGTGTGGCTGACTCTTCCTCCTTTCTTGCTGAGAGTGATAGTCAACAAGCTTATCTGTGATGCTCATAGGCAAGTGGATGAAACAGAGCTTGGAAAAATGGTGTCTGCCTGTGGTTTGATCTGTCTGTTGGAGGATAGTTCACTGCAACAACTTTCTACTTTACCATTTTAATTTCTTTCTTTCTTTCTTTTTTATTTTTCCCCAGCATATCTTTGTTTCTTCATGGTTCCTCTAGGGAACTCTATACCTTACTTAAACAGAATCAGTTTTATACTAATATAAATTCTAAGAAGTACAGAAGTATCATTCCTATATAGTGCTATCCTTTTTAACTCACTTTTGGGGAAGGGGGTGGTGTCCTTTTGAGACAGGGTTTCCCTGTAGCATCATCTAGCCTGGAACTCAGTATGTAGACCAGGCTGGCCTTGAACTCACAGAGATCTGCCTACCTCTGCCTCCTGAGTGCTGGGATTAAAGATGTGCCCCACCATACCGAGCCTCTTTTTAACTCACTTTTATGATATTGTTATACATATTACCTATATAAATACTACAAACTCAGCAATACATTGGTATGATTATTATTTTATGTAATTGTACAACTTTTAATGAGGCTTCAAGAAGAAAGGAGAACAAGTATGTACTTAGAGCCTTTGTACTTACCCTTTCTGGTTCTCTTACATTTGTTCTTGTGGATTTAGTTACCATATAGAATCGGTCCTATCCCAGTAGAGCTTTATTCCCAGTATTTTTGTACTGCTATTATTGTAGGGTCAACAGTATTATATATTATTTTGGTACTTGTTTTATACCATTGCTTTTTAAATTTGTCATAGAAAGAAAAGAGGAGAAACAAGCATTTATATTGTCTTTATAATTAAGTCAGCTTACCCAGCTATTAATGAATTTTCTGCCTCTGTTGACTTGCACATTCTGGACATTTTGTATGAAAGGAATCCCGTAGTATGTGACCTTGTGGGTTTTTTCATTTTGTTTACATAATTTCTATAATTGAAGCTCTCGTGGTTTTTGTTTTGTTTATTCATGTTAATTTGAATTTCTGGTGTTTGAGGCCATCATTTTTCCGTTGAAGAATTTCTTTTAACATTTATTCACTACCCGATCTTCAGTAACAATGTCTCAACTTTTGTTTGTCTGAGAATATTGAGAATATCTTTTCGAAAGATTCCTTTGCGAGATAATGATTTGTGGTTGACAGGATTTTTTCCCTTAGTTCCCCCCCCATATGTTTCCCACTATTTTTGACTAGTATCAATTCTTTTGATAAGTCAGCTATACACTATAAAAGATTGCCATTGTAATTGATAGATAATTTTCATGTTCTTTTCAAGACTTTTTCCTATCTTTGAGCATTTTTACCATGATCTCTCTGTGGCTCTTTTTGTGTTGATCCTACTTAGAATTTGTGAACTTCCTTAATGTATAGGCTAGTGTTAGGGAATTTTAAGGAATTCTTTGGAAGTTTTTTATTTTTCCTGTTCCATGGTCTCCCTTTTCCTTCTGGTACCTTAATTATGTATCTATTAATGTACTTAGTGAGTTTTGCACATTTCTCTGAGATTTTGTTTTTTTCTTTTTCTCTCTATTCTTACAGCATAGTTTGTCTCAATCTCTATTAGTCTGTCTTCAAGTGTGATACTGTTTTTTGCCAGGTCACATGTTGTTGAGCAGCCTCTCTAACTGTCTCATTGTAGAGAAGTTATTGTACTTTTCAGCTACAGAGTTTCCAAAATAATTCATTGATTATGATGATAAATGCTATAAAATAAATGAACCTTGAAAACACGGCACATGAAAAAATCTATTAGACCATATATTTTATGATACTCCTTATTCAATTTGCCCAGAATATGCAACTCAGTATAGTCAGAAAATAGATTAATAGTTGGCTATGGTGTGGGTGTGGAAATGGAGCATGACTGTTTAATTGGTATAGTTTTGGGGAGGATAGTGAAAGTGGTCTAAATTTAGTTAATAATAATGGTTATGTAATTATGTGAATATAATAAAAATGACCAACTTTTGCATTTTCTTTTAAAATATTTTTATTCTTTGACAATTTCATATGTATATAAATGTATCCTGGTCATACCCACCCCATTTCACCCTCATACTCCTCTCCCAATTCTTCCCCCCAGCACATCACATCTCCATCTAACCTTTGTTTCCACCCCTCCCACCTCCTCCTTTCCTTCTTTTTAATAACCCGTTGAGTCTATTTAGTGTTGCTTACATGAACATGGGTAACCTACTAGCAACCACACCCTCAAAGAAAAACGGCTCTTCCCTCTCCTAGCAGCTATCAGTTGCTAACAGTTAAGGGTAGAGCTTCATGAATCTCGCCCATGCTGGAATTATTTACTGGCTTGAACTTGTGCAGGTCTTGTGCAGGTAACCATAGCTGCTGTGAGTTCATGAGTGCAATGGCCAGGTCATGTTCAGAACACAGCATTTCACAGCACTCCACCCTACTCTCCAGCTCTTACATTCTTTCTACCCCCTCTTCTGCAGTGTTCCCTGAACCTTGTAGGGGCTGATACAGATTTCTCATTGTTGAGATGACTTAATAATCACTTGTTCTCATCACTTTGACCAGTTATGTGTCTCTTCATAGACTATTGCCCACTGCAAAATGAAGCTTCTTTGACCTTGAAAGCTGCACTAATCTGTGGTTATAAACATAAATATTTAGAAGGCAGTTTGACATCATGACATTTTAGCAGAACAGCCAATAATAGGGTCCCTTCCCACTCATCCCAGGGCCAATAGCTTCCCTAGCTGTGGGCTTTTGACCAGTTTTATAGTACCAGGCATGAATTTCCTTCTGTGAAACAGCTCTCAAATTCAGTCAGAAAATAGTTACCTCCATAACAGTCCCACTACTATTGTACCTATGGGTGCATATTACCTGGCAGATGGATATTGTAGCATGCAGGGTCCATTGTTGGGTAAATCAGTTGATGACTTTTTTCCACAAGCAGCCTGCATAGCACCTTTCAGCACTATGAAAACTTGTCAGCAGGGAGGAAATTTCCAGTCAGTTCCAGCTTGATTTCTCTTAAGTGCTGCAACCAAAGTATGTTGAGTTTTCAGTAATAGAGTTTTACCATCTAGTTATGGTAGGCAGCCAAGAGAACGGCAATATATTGTATTGTTTTGGGGGCCTCTGGGATTTTAAATGGGTGAATTTTACTGTCTAAACCATATTTCAGAGATGTTGAAACAAAAGAGAAGGTTTAATCACTTTGGTTATATTTAATTTTTGTTTTGTTTTGTTTTTTTTGAGACAGGGTCTCTTTGTAGCCCCAGCTGGTCTGGAACTCGTTATGTAGAACAGGGTGGCCTCAAACTCACAGATATCTGCCTGCCTCTGCCTCCCAAGTGCTGGGATTAAAGGCATGTGTCACCATGCCCTGCATACTTTAAATTTTTAAAGATGTCTCTTACATAAAAATGTTAATCTGGGCCAACTTAGAGTTTTTGTGACTATGTAAGTTATGAGGCTCATTTTAAATGATTCAGAAAGTACATGTATGTGTAATGAATATATTGCAATCCAGTTCATCTAATTTACACTCCATGGACTCATACTAGTTTTTAAACCCTAGGTATGCCACAAATTTATTGGTAATTTTGATTTTTGTGATGCTTCAATTTGTTTCTAGTGCTGTAATTAAGTTCTACACTTTCAGTGATGTCCTTTTCATTCCCCATTCCCCCCCCCCTTTTTTTAATGAGACAGAATCTCCCTATTGCCCCAGTTGGCATGGAACTCACTATGTAGACCAGGCTGACCTCAGTCTCACAGAGATCTACCTGCCTGTGCCTCCTGAGTGCTGGGATTAAAGGAGTGCGGCACCACTCTAGGCTCCTCTTTACACTTTTTAAAATTTGATCATTGCAAAATTTACTAATGGGTTTATTAATTTCAGTTTGTACATCTGAAACCACTGATTTGACACTGTTGGCTTTGTGAATATATTCCTTTTAAATCATATTTCTTCAAATATTTTGCACAGATATTTAGGTCATGTTGTACTTATTTTTTTCTGTCTGGTTAATCTGTCACTGCCCCATGTAATAAGAACATCTGTCTCATTGGTGGTCTTGTGCTTCATATTTATGATGACTGTTTTGTCTCTGAATATTTTTGCTTTTTCTTACAATGACATCTCAGTAATGCCTTTGTCCTTCTGTGTATTAATGATTGGGAGAAAAGGCAAGGTTATAGTACCTCAGATTTCTTTAGTCATCTTATGGTGTTAAGAATGTTAGTTTCTTTTTGTACCATTAAATTATTTTCAAAGTAAAAATAGACATACAACTCTCGAAATTTTCCTTTACTTTAGTGCATGTGCCACATAAAAACTTGTTTTTCCATTCTTTTTCCTTTAACAAATTTTAATAGTTTAAGAATCATTTAAATTAACTCTTGGAGAAAGCTTGTTTTAAAATATATATAAACAAGAAAAATATAGTCTAAAAGTTTTTTTTGAAATTATGAAATTTGCCCAATTACTCATTTAGAAAAACTTGTATAGTCATCATTCCCCAAATAGAGTAGATTAAATAGATTTAATATGAACAGTAGAATGCATAAATAGATTAAATAGATTTAAATATGGTTTAGAAAATTGTCATGTGATATATTGGCTTATTCCCCCTTCTTTTTCAGGAACTCTTGGTGTAATAACAGAAGCTACAATAAAAATCAGACCAATCCCTGAATACCAAAAGTATGGCTCGGTAGCTTTCCCTAATTTTGAACAAGGAGTAGCCTGTTTAAGAGAAATTGCAAAACAGGTAAAGAAA